TGAACATCGACCAAATCTTTTTGGTACAGTGACTCTGTATATATATTCCTTCCACCTTTTTTTATGCTTCCTGCATCATTCGATATTTTTTCCATAGACTCCTTCAATATTGTAACTTGAGGCTTGGATTTTTTCTTTAGTTCTTTAAGCTTGAGAAATGCTGAGCATGTTCTTCCCTTGTGGTTTCTAACTCCAGGTCTTTGTACATGTCATTATAATACTTTACTTTTTCTTCTCGAGCCACCCTTTGAAATCTCCTGTCCAGCTCTTTTGCTTCATCATTTCTTCCTTTTGCTTTAGCTACTCTACGTTCAAGAGTAAATTTCAGAGTCTCTTCTGACATCCATTTTGGTCTTTTCTTTCTTTCCTGTCTTTTTAATGACCTCATGCTTTCTTCATGTATGATGTCCTTCCATAACTCGCCTGGTCTTCAGACATTAGTGCTCAATGCATCAAATCTATTCTTGAAATGGTCTCTAAATCCAGATGGGATATACTCAAGGTCATATTTTGGCTCTTGTGGACTTGCTTGAATTTTCTTCAGCTTCAACTTGAACTTGCATAGTAACAATTGATGGTCTATTCTGCTGTTGGCCCCTGGCCTTGCTCTGACTGATGATATTTAGCTTCTGCATCATCTTTTTCCACAGATATAGTCGATGTGATTCCTGTGTATTCCATCTGGTGAGTTTCACTTGTATGGTTGCCAGTTATGTTGTTGAAAATAGGTTGCATCATTATATGACAACCAAACTATATCATAACTGCCAAACCACTGAGAATCATGGCCCAGCCAAGCTGACCCACAACCTCAACCATTACATGTACACACAGTTATTTCCTTGATCAGGAGCTCCATGCAGGCTAATCTCTCTATCTCAAGATTGCTACCTTAATCACATCTGCAAAGTCCCTTTTGCCATGAGAGGTAACATATTCACAGGTTCTGGGGATTTGGATGTGGATGTCTTTGGTGGCCACCATTCTGTCTGACACAGGCCCCTTCAGTAGACTGTAGGCTCCATGCAAGCTCTGCCCCATCTCTGGCCCTCTGGAGTGCCAGGCACATAGTAGGTGCTCAATTTTGGTGCAGTGAATTACTTAATATGGCCCTTCTAGCTACAGTTTTTGTAACTCCCACCAAATGACTGGGTGGGACTATGCAAATGAGGTGCTTGTCGTCACCCAGGGGATTGGATAACTTGTTAATAATGTAAATAAGGTGCATGGCACCCTTGTGGGGATGAGGCCATGCAAATAACATGTATGGAATCCTAATGAGGAGACTGTCAGTTTTGCCAATCTGGTAGGCTTAAAATAAGCCATCCCAGAGACAGAAAGGGAAGGGAGGATCTGACCACCACTGAGAATGAAGAGCCAGAATGGGGCGTGGCCTCTGGACCTAGAATCCCTGCACTGAGGTCCTGGAACCAGGAGACCGAGAGAGAGACAGACAGAGAGACAGGGCGAGCTGTAACATCGAAGATGGAGAGAAGCAGCAGCAGAGAAACAGCGACAGCAGAAGCAGGAGACCGGCAAGAGACAACACAGTGAGCTTCCTGTCCCATGGAGTGAGAAGCTGTGTGCCTTTGGGCAGGAGGCTTGCTTGAAGAGTAGGGTGCCTCCTGGGCACTTGGTAGAGATAGGTTTGCCAACCCACGGAGCTAAAGCTGACCGCCAAGGGCTGAGGCTTACTGGCAGAGTGGAGCGCCTCAGAGAACTTATCAGCAGAGCTAAAAGAGCTTTATAACACTTGCTGGAGCAGGGCAGAAGCCAGGCCGAGTGGCCAAGGGCCAGAGGGACCTGCCTGCAAACATAGCTGAGATGAGGCTGTTATCCTTACTGTTCCTGAATCTGAACTGTAACCTGTTACTTCCCTAAAAAATCCAGTAACTATGAGTATGGTCTGTGAGTTCTGTGTGGCCACTGCGATGAATTATCGAACCCAGTAGAGAAGCAGAATACCGTCAGTGGGACAGTTGGTGTCAGAATTAGTAAAAAGGTTGGAGAAAGAAAGTATGTCTGACCTCTGCCTCAAAGGAATCAGCCCTGGGCTGTTGATCTTGATTTTCCTTCCTCCTTGTGAATGTTGCTGAATGAATGACTTGTCACCAATTAGAGCCACCACACTTCCCTGGAATTCAATGCCACTCCTGCCCCACGCCCCCAACAGCAGTCAGAGGGAGCTGGATCCCACCATTCCCTTGCCTAACACCTGATGGCTCCCATGGCACTGGTGCTGCCCACAGCAGCTCCACTCCTGACCCTCCTCCCTTCCCCTCAAGGATCTAGTCTTATTCTGTGTGAGCAGGCTGCTCAGGAAAGGCTCCAAAAGTCTGGCTGGGGCACACGGGCGGGAAGGGGTCTGTGGCAGATAGAAGAATGGCCACCAAAGATGTCCACATCTTAATCCCTGGAACATGTGAATGTTACCTCTCCCAGCAGTTCTACTCTGTCATACAGAGTCACTATGAGTCAGAATTGACTCAATGGCCAACAACAACATGACAAAAAAAAACGAGGAGTCACTGGGTGGTGCAGTTATGTGCTGAACTACTAGAAGAAAGGCTGACAGTTCGAACCCACCCAGAGGTACCTCTGGAGACTGGCCCGGTGATCTGCTTCCAAAGGTCACAACCTTGCATACCCTATGGAGCAGTTCTTCCTTGTACACACGAGGTTGCCATGAGTAGGAATCAACTTGATGGTAACTAACAACAACATGGCAAAAAGGACTTTGCAAATGCGATTAACACTCTTGAGATGGAAGGATTATCCTGGACTATCCAGGTGGGCCCTGAGGTAATCACAAGGGTTCTTATAAGAGGGAAGCAGGAGGTTCAGAGCCAGAGGGATGGCAGTGTAAGAAAGACTCGACTGGCTATTGCTAACTTTGAAGTTGGAGAAAGGGCCTCAAGTCAAAAGAATGCAGGCAGCTTCTAGAAGGTGGACAAGGCAAGGAAACAGATTATCCTCTAGATCCAGTCCTGCCAACACCTTGACTTCTGCTTGTTGTTGTTAGGTGCTATCGAGTCGATTTTGACTCAAAGCAACCCCATGTGACACAGTAAAACTACCCCATAGGGTTTCCTAGGCTGTAATCTTTACAGAGGAGCCCTGGTGGTGCAGTGGTTAAGTGCTTAGCTGCTAACTGAAAAGCTGACAGTCTGAACCCACCCAGCAATTCCTTAGGAGTAAGATCGGTGATCCACTTACGTAAAGATTTCAGCCTTGGAAACACTATGGCAGTTCTATTCTGTCATATAGGGCCACTATGAGTTGGAATTGACTTGATAGCAATGAGTTCGGGTATTTTTTTAAAATCTTTACAGAATCAGATCACCAGGTCTTTCTCCCTCAGAGCCACTGGGTGGGTTTGAACAGGCAACCTTTTGGTTAGCAGTGGGGCGCTCAACCATTGTACCACCAGGGCTCCTTGACTAGCATAGTGAGATCCATTTTGGATTTCTTCTGATCTCCAGAAATGTAAAATGATAAATCTGTTTTGTGGTAATTTGTTACAGTGGCAATAGGGAACTAATACAGGAGTTTTCTGTCCACATGTAGTATGGCCTCCCCTGTACATCACCCAGCAGACCCGGGGGTGCCACCTGAAACAGGAACCAAGGCAGTGCTTGCCATCTTTGGGATGAGGAAATGGAGGTCACCATGCCCCAGCCCCTGACTGACAACCACACCAGACAACCTGTAGTTCCTGGCATGCCACAAGCTGTTTTTTTACCACCCAGCCTTTGCACACACACTGCCCTCTACTGGAAACACCATTCCCCTGCCTTGCTTGCCAGGTAGCTCTGGCCATCAGCTCCTCTGGGAAGCCTTCCTGATGCCCCCACCCCCACTGGGCTCTCTGAGGCCCATGAAACCTGACTTGTGCTGCCTTTGTCTGAGTCCATCTCCCCTGCCAGCCAGGGAGGCCCTCAGGCTAGGCCTGGCAGAGCGGACACAAGGAAGACTGAAGGGTGAATGGTTAGCAACAGGGCTAAGGGGGACAGACATGCCCAGGTAAGGGCCATACGGCACCTCAAGGCCCGTGCTGGCCTGTTCCAGACTGGGAGGATGTTCCCTCACCTGGTATTTGACCGTCAGGGGCTTCGTGCCCGCCCACCTGTTGCCGAAGTTCCCATCCGGGGGAAGCTCAGAGTCCTCAGTGAGCAGCACTGGGGAGAGAGGAGCCATGAGCAAGATAGGCCTGTCTGTGGCCCCAACCCCAGCCCAGGAAGCCCCACAGGGCACCCTGCCTGGGCACTGCCGACAGGGCCGAGGGAGATTGCCTGACCCAACAGTCCAGAAAAGTCTGTTTCTCAAAGAGCTGACCAAATTATAACAGCTACATTTACTACATGTTTAATCTGTGCTAAGCATGGTTCTAAGTGCTGCACAGGTATTGCCTCATTTATACCTCTTGAAGACACTGAAGTGGGTATTATGACAGTAATCCCCACTTTATTGATGGATAAACTCAGGCACAAGAGACTCACACAGCCAGAAGGAGGTGGGGCAATGGCACCTATACACTGCATTCTCTCTCATTGACGTGGCCACGTCTGCCTCACCATCTGGTCCTCTCAGGCCTGGCCCTGGTCCCTTTTCGAAGGGGGCTTCATTCACCACTCGGACTGCCCCAGGGCTGGGTCCTCCCTCTGTCCCACCAGCCTCCCTGTGCTTAGACATCTGTGTGAGTCTCCCTGATAGACAGTGTCCACATATCGGGATCAGAAGGGCCACGCAGAAGATACCTGGGTTTCTGTTTCCCTCCCTCTGCTCTCTCAGCATCTACCCCCATTGTCTGGCACCAACAACTTCGTTTGCATTTGGAGAATACCCTTTGCTCAGTATTAGTCCCTGGGCTCCAGCTGGCCAAGGAAAGGCACGTGACCCACACTGGGCCAGTGGGACTCAGCCTGGGACCTCTTACGTTCTTCTTCCCTTGGGGTTTCTGTGTTGGTAGGACATAAGCCTGGAGTTACTGGGCCAATCCTTGCCCCCTAACTCAGTGATAGACTGTACTTAAGAATGAAGCTATTGTAGGAAAACCCAACTAATAGAAATAGAATGACAAAGAAGTGTTGTGATGGTATCAACTAAGCACCTAGATCCAGCCATACCTGAAGCCTCTCATTGCCTTCTTTGCTTAAGCCAGTTTGGGCTGGTTTTTGGGTCACTTGCAATCAAAACAGACCTGACTAGCACCGTGTGTGAGTGTTTGGGGGAAGTGAGATATGTGAGAATGAGTATGTAAGTGATCCTAGATTAGACCATACGCTCCCACATTCCAGTCTAGGCTCTGGCCAGGAAGCTGTGAACACCTGCCCATTGTTCCTCCTCACCTCTTTTGTCGAGCACCTGGGTCAGATCTTCCACCAGCCCGGCAGCCTCTTCTCCGCTCTCAGGGCACTGGGCCCCCACCCAGGCGTGAATCTCAGGGGGCAACACATCCAGGAACTGCTCCAGCACCAGCAGCTCCAGGATCTCTTCCTTGGAGCGCATCTCAGGCCGCAGCCACTGGTGGCACAACTCATGCAGCTGGGCCAGGGCCTCGTGGGGGCCTGCTGCCTCCTGGTAGTGGAACTGCCGGAAGCGCAAGCGTGCAGCATCAGGGTGAGCGGTGTGGCCACCAAGGCCAGATTCCTGGCCCTGGGAGACGCCTGCCTCATCATCTTCCACCTTCACTTGCAGGAAGCTTTCCTGTTCCCAGGATGTCAGGCTCAGGGGACTCCTGGGGATAGCCATTGGCAGCAGCACTCCTGTGGGATGCAGAATGGCTCGAACCTCAGGACTGGGTCTGCAGGAAGGTCAAAGTTTTATCACCATGTGGAATCCAGGGCCCTGCCCCACACCTACAAACCACTAATCTACCTTCTCTCTCTGTGGATTTACCTGTACTGAGAGTTTCACATAAATGGAATCATAAAGTCTGTAGCCTTTTGTGACTGGTTTAACTTTGCATAATGTTTTTAAGGTTCATCCATGTTGTAGCATGCATCACTACTTAATTCCTTTTTATGGATGAATATTATTCTACTGTGTGGATGGACCACATTTTGTTTACCCATTCAACAACTGATGGACTTTTGGGTTGTTGCCATTTTTGTGCTATTATGAATAATGCTGCTATGAACATTTATGCATATGTTTTTGCATGGACAAGTGTTTTCATTTTTATTGAGTATATACCTAGGAGGAGGATTGCTGGATCATACGGTAATGCTGTTTAACTTTTTAAGAAACCGCCAGACTGTCTTCTACAGTGTCTGCACCATTTACATTCCCACCAGGAGTAGATGATGGTTCCAATTTCTCCATGTTTTCTATTTTTCACAATGAACCTTTATTTCTTCTATAATCGAGGAAAGAAAGGAAAAAAAAAAAAAACCTAAATGAAATATAACCTCTCCTAGGAGACCCTAGCTCTTTGTTTTTGCCACACACTCCCCTTCCTCAAGGACCTGGTCTCTCCTCTCTGACCCACGACCCCCTGCAAGTATAAGGGCTCAGAGTTCTTTTCTTCCTCGTTCCATTCCATGTCAGCCTCGGCACCACTCTGCTTGAGGTGCTGCTCATGGAAGTCACTTTGAACAGAGGTTCAGGATCCTGAGAAGGAGCTATGGCTTTGGGCACAGGGAGAAGGGAACTTTTATCAAATAAGACCCCAAGCCTGAAATCATTCAGTGACAGCCCATAACCTGAGGGTGTAGCTGTGTTATAGCCTCTTTACTATAAAGTTGGCTTGGGTCCCTTGCCTTCCTTGTCTCCTGCTGTCATGGATTGAATTGTGTCCCCCAAAAATATATGTCAACTTGGCTAGTCCATGATTCCCAGTATAGTGGGATTGTTCACCATTTTGTCATCTAATGTGATTTTCCTGTGTTATAAATCCTGCCTCTATGATATTAATGAGGCAGGATTAGAGACAGTTATGTTAATGAGGCAGGACTCAATCTACAAGATTAGGTTGTGTCTTGAGTCAATCTCCTTGAGATATAAAAGAGAGAAGTGAATAAAGAGACATGGGGACCTCATACTAGCAAGAAACAAGAGCCAGGAGAATAGTGCATCCTTTGGACCTGGGGTCCTTGCACTGAGAAGGTCCTCGACTGGGGAAGATTGATGACAAGGACCTTCCTCCAAAGCCAACAGAAAGGCCTTGGAGTTGGCGCCCTGAATTAGGACTTCTAGCCTCCTAAACTGTGAGTGAACTTCTGTTTGTTAAAGCCATCCACTTGCACTATTTCTGTTATAGCAGCACTAGACGACTAAGACACCTGCCATTACCCCCTACTTGCCCGACTAGCCATTGTCCCTGCTGTTTTCTTGTCCTGATACCCCTTTCTGTATCCTATGAATTCTTCCAGGTCCTCTAGGCCACATCTTAGATCTCTGGGAGCCATCCAAGATGCCTGGGAGTAGGTTATGTGCCCTTCCCAGAGTGCCCTGGGTCTTCCCCTGGGTCTCTACTGTAACTGTCTATTTCCCCAGACAGGCTGGACATACTGGAGTCAAGGTGCCCATGGGCTAGCTCCTAGCAGGTGGGTAGTAAGCAGGCGCTGAACAAATGGAGGGACCAGGAAAACCTGAGTGTGGCCTCCCACAGATGGGGAGGAACTGTTTTATGTTATATGGGAAGGGGAAGCAGGAGCTGGCAGGGACAAGAATGAACACAGTGATGGTTTCCATGCTCCCTTTCACACTTCTGGAGCCCCTGTTCTGGGGAATTTCCGGATGGCCATCTCTAAGACACATCTACGTGAACTTGCCTCAACCTCATCAGCATATTCCCTGACACAAGGCAAAAGCCCCCAGGCCAAGGCTGCTAAAGCCAACACAGCAGGGTGGTTCTTTCATTTCTGACTCCTCACTTGTACATAAGCTGATAATGTACTTACCTCAACGGGTTGCCACAAGGTTACCTGAGGTAACCCATGATGAGCATCCAGCATGGGCCTGGTGCACAGCAAATGTGCAGTAAATGTCCAGTCTGATGGCTCCACCGTTGGTTCTCCTGCCAGACTCCAGCCCACAGAAGGTGCTGGGAGATGGACCTGTAGGCACAGCCAGGTGACCCTCAGTTACACAATTTCAGCTGAAGCACAAATCCTCTGTCGCATACTCAGTGAATAATCCACAGGATACTCAAATTTCAGTCCTCCACACAAAACCTCAGTCAATGACATAGTCAAACACGCAGACACACTATCTTAGGCACAGAGTCTGTCAATAATACCACAAAATACCCCCGGTCACACAAAATTTCTCTGTGTCACTCATAATCACTCAGATATACACAGGCCTTCACAGCATCTCCATTACAGTCTCATTCCATCCCAGTCACTCATAATCTCTTCATCATCTCAGTCAGTCAGATACATAGAATTTCAGTCAACTTGGAATCACACACAGTCAGCCACATACCCACCCTCTCACTCACCATATCACACAACTCACCTACAAAATCTCAGTTAAACCACAACAATCTCTTTGAGTCACACACACTCCATAGGTCGCTAGACACTCAACCTGTCAGTCTACCTCACATTCCCAAGCTGGCAGTCAGAAAAACACACCCAAAATGTGTCAGGTACAGAAGCAAAACCTGTCAGACATAATTTGTCCATTGGTCCTACACTCTCCATCGCAGTCAGTCGGTCCCACGCTTAATCCATGGATAACGCACTCACAAGCCATCAGTCCGTCTGTCCTGCACTCACAGTCCGTCAGTCGGTCCACACGCGGCCGGTGGTCAGCCCCTCACTGTGTCGCCGGTCTTTCACACACATACACCCTGCTCCCCGCGCCACAGGCGTTCGCGATCTCAGGGCCCGCCGTGGTCCTCTCACTTGTTTGGCCCTGCGCCCGCCTTGCCCTGCCAGCGGGGTACCCGCAACCGCCCAGAGCCGTACCCCTGCTTGGATCCTGACCCCGACCCACCTCGCAGGCGCGGCGGGAGGTAGTTTCCGGGAGAGGATGCTAAGGCGCCCCGAGTGCACAGAAAGCCCGCGTGCCCGCCCACCTGGACTACACCTCCCGGCACGCTCCGCGCCGCCAGCCTCAGGCCACCCGTCGCAGCGAGGCTCCTAGCCGCCGGAGGCACGCTGGCCGGGAGTTGTAGTCCCTCCGGGCGCGCGAAACGTAGTGGCAGCGGCCCAGCCTTTGTCGGGTGGTGCTCGCGGTGAGCAGAGGCCGCGGCGGGGCGGGATGCGGAAGGCGGGACGGTGCGAGGGTGTGAGAGGTGTGTGAGTGAGAGTGAGGATGCTGTTCTGAGAAGGTGAGGATGTGTGAGGGGTGGGGGTGCTGGTGTGAAGAGTTTAGGGTTCCTGTGTGAGGTGTAGGGGTGCTGGTGTAAGTGGTTAGAGTGCCAGAGTGAGGGATGAGGGTGCCGATGTGAAAGAGTGAGGGTGGCAGTATGAAGTGGGAGTGCGGGTTTGAGGGAGGTGAGGGTGCCGGTGTGAGGAGTGAGCAGGTAGCAGGTGTGTACTGGTGTGAGGGATGTGAGTGCTGGTGTGAGGGGTGAGGGTGCCATTGTGATGGATATCATGTGTATGACTATGTGTGACCTGGGGGTCCAGGTGGTGAATGTGTCACTCTCTGCAACCAAGTGTATGGGTGATTCTGGGTGTAACTGTGTATGTGACCTGTGAATTGATTTCCACGTGTGATCACCATGCAGCCATGTGGGATTGTCATGTGTGATGTTGTCTGTGAGACAGAGACATGGAAGAGATGGGGAGGGCCTGACATAGTATGGCCGTCCCAGACTGTGAGTAATGTAATTGTGTTCATGGGCTTGATTGTGTCACACGGTGGGTGCTTGGACGCATGACTGTGAGAACACATTCTTTGTGTGTGTGTGCATGTGGATGAGTATATATGAGACAGACACTGAGCTGGAGTTCTGGCTGAGAGCCTGGGACAAGGAGTGTGGGGTCCAGCCTATTTGTGGAGTGAGGCCTTAGGGGGTGCGCCATGTAGGCTTGGTCCCGCAGGCCCCTGTGAGGTAGCCTGATGCTTATGGGGGTACTTATTGTCCCCAGCCTGTCACCATATCCCCTTGTGGCTTCTCGGTTCTTACCCTGCAGTCTGCCAGCAGTTGAAATGAGCACCTCACATCTTCCTTCTACAGATACTTACTGAGAACTCACTACAGGCCAGTGCAGTACCAGACTGGATACCACAGTGATGAGGGCAGGCGTGGCCTACCTCCATAGACCTGCTATCATGTGGGGAGTCGGAGTGTAAACAAAGAAACAAGCCAGTTTTCTGAGGAGGTGGCATCTGGGCTGAGAGCTGAATAGAGGGAGGGACCCAGGGAGAGAGTGTTCCAGGCAAATGGAATAGCAAATGCCAAGGTCCCAAGGTGGGCACACGTGAGGAGACCCGGGCTGGGATGGAGCAAGCAAAGGAGATGGGAGTGGATGAGGTCAGAATGGGGAGGCCTGTGTTGGGGCAGATCATGCTGGGCTTATGGATCATGTATGGACTTTGACTTTACCCTGAGAGAGGTGGGAACCTTGAGAGACCTTTCAGCAGAGAAGACCATGCGACTTAGCTCTTTGTAGGATCACTCTGGCTGCTGCATGGGGAAGACTGGCAGGGTGAGGGTGGTAACCACCCAGGCTGAGAGGCCTCTGTCCTGGCCCTCCTCCAGCAGTGCTCCTTTGCAAGCCCTGGGAAAGTCCTGCCCAGAGCCCGTGCACAGCCCCACTTGTAGATCACACTTGGGATAACAGGGACTCTGGAATTACCTCCCAAGTGGCCCATCTTCTCCTGGGCTTGTCCTTTGCAGGGCAAACCTCAGTGCCCTACCGATGTGCATCCATAGTCCTGAAGGGTGTCCAAGGGCAGCCGTTTGCAAGGTATGCATGGAGCTTGGGTGTCCGTATGCACCCAAAAGACACACTCTATCTCACAGTGTGCGACAGACCTGGTAGGCAAAGAAAAGGTGTGGGTCAAGGAGTAAGGGCCAGCTCTTCCTATGTTGCCTTGCTCTTGTGTGGAAGTCTGAAGAGTCCAGGTCATTAGGAGGAAATATTTGTCAGAGTGAGAATGGAACGTGCTTTATTTATTTATGTAATTACTTATTTATTGTATTTTATTTATCATTATTTATTATTTTTA